ATATTTTTTAACCGACTTCCAAAAAAGGAGGAGGTTATCAGTTCGTCGGAATATTTTGTTTTTGTTTTTTTTTAAGTATGTTACCGAATATCTTTGGACCACCTCAACCGATAATTCTGNTTACTCATTTCCAGTAAAATCCAGTAAAAGTTTTTACGAATTTTCATGTTTTGGCGTTTTCGTAAGCAAAAACTTGCAAAGTAGGGGAAATTGAGAGAGCGAGAAAAATTACAGTTGAAGTTGCAAGATTTTACTGGATTTTACTGGATAAATTTTTACTTGTAAGAATTTGCCAGTACGAAAAACAGCTGATCGCATGTTGCTGGACGAAATTTAAACTAATAAGGAAACTGGTTGTGGGTTTTTATAAGTTGCGTTCGCGTAGCTGTTAATTGTTCATGTTTAACCAAAACTTACAAGTTTTTGCGTTCGCGTACGCAAAAAACTTGCAAAGTAGGGCAAATTGAGAGAGCAAAGTGACATTTCATTTTGAGGGGAGCTGCTGGTTTCTTCTGGAAAAATTTTTGCCAACAGCAATTTACCAACAGGAAAACAGCTGATCAAAAACAGCTGGTTGGCATTTACGCAAATCACAAAATTAAATTTGATCATTTGGTGTTTGAAAATTATAAAATGCGACATATTACACTTGTAAGAAGTATGTAGTTATTCGTTTAATCAATAANAAAATAAACCTATTTAAAAACAAAATATATTGTTTTATTAGGAATTTGCTGCGAATAAACAACCAATTTATCAACTGTTCATGAAACTTGCAAATTACTACTGGAAAAGCGTTCGCGTACTTTATTGCAAATTTTTTCTATGAGAGCGAATTCTTAGAAATAAAGTTACTGGAGAGTTGCTGGCAAGTTACTGGATAATTTGTAAAAAAACACAACTACTGCAATATTTTTTAACCGACTTCCAAAAAAGGAGGAGGTTATCAGTTCGTCGGAATATTTTGTTTTTGTTTTTTTTTTAAGTATGTTACCGAATATCTTTGGACCACCTCAACCGATAATTCTGTTTGCATCGGAAAGGTAGTGTCTCAGAGGTAGTCCCATACTAATCTGGTTTAGATCCGGTCATTGGATCATGAAATTATTTTTTTTCTCGCTCTGGCTGCGGCTGTCTTATGCACGATTGTTTTCATTAATTGCGTTGTTTTTGTACTCGTTGCCACCGGTAACCTTATCCTTATTGCCATAACAATGAAATAAACCTTTTATGTTTTCTTTAACCAGCACTGGCTTCACTTGTACAGATAACAGAACATGCAAATCTATAATTTGTTCAGGCGGTCCGATCTATACTCTCATTTATGAACTGGAATACTTCATTGATTATTGCGGCAACAAGAACTTCGATGTCATTTTGGAGAATTGCACCTTCAACGATGCAGCCATAGGCAAATACACGATGTCCGGCAGCTATAAACTGAACAGTTTAACAATTCGTAATTGCACTCTTGAAGCCATAGTGAATAGCGCATTCAACTATGTAACTATGCAAAACTTAGTCAATTTGACACTTCATGGCACTCAACTGCAAACATTGAATGCTAAATCCTTTGAGGGCTTGGGAACAGTCAATCATTTCGAATTACTCAACGTACAGCATAATGAAACAACGCCGCTGAAGGTCGAAAATTTCCTACAGCCAATGGCTGGAAACCTAAGTAGTCTTGTGCTGCAGCAGTCACAGGTTGCCTGCGGTAGTCACATCATTTACGATCCTGCTCAGTGGCTGGATAGCAGCACAGCGTTTGTAAATTTATTAATTGTCAACCTAAGTGGAACGGAATTCAATCGAACGCTCAACGGTAGCACATTCTCCAATTTGTTAGCAGTCGAGCAACTTTCATTGGCCCAATGTAGTCTACACACAATCGGCGAAGGCACTTTCGATTGTATTCTGAAGACGCTGCGATCGCTCGATTTGCGCGATAATCTATTACAAACATTAGACGGCGATTTTTTGGTTGCTGCAGCAACTGCTGGCATCAGCATCCAGTTGGGGGAAAATAAGTGGCGATGCGAATGCGATAATCAGGCACTCATCGAATATGTCGCACAAGCGCAAGAAGCGAACAGTGAATTGACGAAATGTTCGTCGCCAAATGAATTGGCTGGAAAACCAATTCTTCATTTACAACTGGATTGTAATGGTAAGAACATAGCAATAGAATTAAAGACTTTGGCGTGTTTATGTATAAATAAATTGGAAATTTTCAGCAACGACTATTAAAACAACAACGGCGTCTTCAACAAAAGATGCTACAACAACAGTGTCTTCAACAAAAGACGCTACAACAACAGTGTCTTCAACAAAAGATGCTACAGCAACATCACCTACCGCGACAACCTCGCACAATTCAACAGAATCAACTGAAACGACGGATACAACCATTCGGGAGAAAACCACTAAAACCACTCTTCCCACAACAGGTAATACAATCGTCAAAAAATTTCATTGAAAATGCAACACATTCCTTGGGAAAGATTTCAAAATGTTTTCCTGTATAAATTGTATATTTCCTAAATATGCGTACCCTAACCGCACATGAAGTTCTCCTTCTTCTAGTTTGGCGCGCTTTAACCCTTTTCCTTCTGTGCCAACTGACGCTAATTGAGAATGTCAAGTGAAGCCAAGTTCTTCTCCACGTAGTCTTTTCGTTGCTAAGCGGCCTTCATGGCCCCATACGCACATGTAATATGGTGACAGGTAACAAGATCAACGGAAATAAGGTCATTTGACACTATTCCGCATATTTGTGCGAAATAAAGCCAATTTATATTATTACCTTTTCAAAAGCGTAATAAAATCCATTGACATTATTGCTCTTTCAAACATTAAATTTGCATCTCGTCTCCTCAGAGAATACCATTTTGTGCAGATGGTACCTCAGCCTGTAGTGTCCTGTCAGGTATCCAGTGAGAGTTCGTAAACCCTCTCTGCTAAAGTTTAGCAGCCGCTGAAAAATTCCGCGAGAGGGAGTTATGAATCTTTTGGATTGCCTTTTGCCCTTTGTCGTGCGCCATTGGGTTGTAACTTGAAAGTCCTCCCATCTTCTTAGGATCTCTGCTAAGTATCTTCATATGGACCAAAGAAAGGCTGAGGGCCGATCAGACTCCGTTGGGCACCGCATTTCGCTAGAGTGTTAGCTCTTTCGTTGCCATCGAAACCGTCATGAGCCGGAGCCCACCACCACAGGGTTACTTTAATACTGGCTCTTGGTTTTACCAGTACTTTTTTGCAACTGTCTACAGCCTTTGACACCGTTTTCCAGGAGTCAAGTGCTCTCAATGCTGCCCGGCTATCCGACGTAATGTTTATTGTTGCCACATTTGTCCTTCTTCGAGGAAATTCGTAAACACAGACTTCAATTGCGAAAATTTCTACCTGGAATATGGTTGGGTTGCGTATATGCCCATCGGTAGGCTTTTTAGAAATGTAGGTCCATATACGCCGGCCCCAGCGTTCCCATCCTCAGTTTACCAAAATGAGTTCCCTCGCTTAACATGGCGATTGTCGGTTTATGGGTATCTCTTTCAGGCATTATTACCTTATTAGGGCTTTGTAAAGGTCAGCTTCGGTAGCATTGAGTCTAACCACCTACTTTAAGTAAAAAAAAAACCTAGCTTTCCATTGAACCGAACGATATGAAGTCCTTGGCATAGTGGTTCTCGAATTTCCTCCCTCCCCTGTCAGCACATACTACGCACATTACAAATATATACCGTCGTTTAAAGTACAAAACCGCGTATCAAGGAAATGCCAAACCAAAGATGTGAGATTGCCCCGATAGGTGAGAGTAAAGCTAGTCCTATTTCAAAATGGTTTTCCCTTTTATCCCTAATTACATCTTCTTCTTATGTCTATCAATCGATATTTTAGTATAATTATACTATAAAATATCCATTTATAAATGGATAAGGGTTTGACTTATAAGTAAATTGATCCTAACATATCACTACTATTACTGTTACATATTTTCTCACCTGACTGCCTTATCCCAAAATAAACAGCCACCTACACAACCACCCGGAAGCAGTCGGACACGGATACAACAACCACACGATTACAAACTACTACAATTGGACCCGGTTTTCAGGTGTGCCCCAGCAGTGCTCTTCCAAAGTTCATATATTGTGAAATTGAAGGACTCGTTGTTCTCTGTGACTACGATGCCTATTTTGATGTGGAAGCGATCTCCTCAACTAGTGTACAACTAGAATTTGACGTTGAAGCTTATGGTTTGCGAGTTATATATTTTCAAGCAATGATATATAATGATACGTATTCTGTTCTCATCGAAACCAATAACTCTCTGGTTATTAATTACCTAACATCAAATGAAATGTATGTCTTTTGTATAATGAAAACTTCTAGTTTGACGACCTCGCCATTTAATTGCGGTTCTGTGTACTTACCGTTAGTGAAAGCTGTGCCTTGGCTTATGAATGAGGATAAAGCGCTTTTCTATACCCTATCAACAATTATAACTATTATCTGTTGCCTTTTGGGCATAGCTGTATGCTATTGGATACTTCGTTGCCGTCCAACATTAATACGTGGCAACAAACGTATACGGCGAGTTGCATCCACATCGTACAAAGTAATGCTTTTTGCCAAACCATTCGATCGTTTGTCATTTGATTCGACACAGTTGGCGCTGCATGAACTCTCTAAAATGCGCTCATCCATTAGTGATACACTCACCGCAGAGAACTATTTGAGTGTCGACTCCCGTGATTATATGCAATATTTAAAAGGCTTAGAGCTGAATCGAGAAGCAAAAGTGATATATATATCGGATAATCGACCGCCATTTAATCGGGCGCCTACATTGCCACCACCACAAGCCGATAGAAAGTGTTGTAGTGAGCGTAGGCGCGATTGTAACAGTGAAGCGTTAAGCCACCAGAGTTCACAATGTTCCACAGTGCTAATGAAAGGTGACCCGCAGCCAAGCGCACGTTTTCTAGTTTGGGAACAAAACGCTACTTTAGGTTCTTCTGAGAACGTATACGAAAGCTTGGATTACTACCAGGAGCTGCACTAGGTTAATTGAAGTAATTTGATGCAAAAATTTGTTTAATTGAGTGGAAAATATTGTAAATGCATAAATTAATTAAATAAAACTATAATTAAAAAAGTACTAGCAGGTGAGAGACGTTGGCGTTTGTATGAAAACTAGAGGTAAGTAAAATGAATAACAATACATGTTCGATCACGACTTTGACAAATGTAAAGTCTTGCCACGCGAATCTTGGCAAAACACCTGACCGTCCCAACAAAATAAGCGATTTTTACAGCCTGCCTAACCCTAACTCACAAACGCGAAGATGGTGTTTTTATCATGTGAAATTGAAGTGCTTCAGGCCTCACTGTATTCTTTTCTTAAAACTCTAGAGAGGCGCATTGACGAATATATTTGACGGAATATAAAAAAAAATACAATCTCTCCTTGAACCAGCATGCATATTCCAAGGGAAAATCAGTGCGGATCGCATTCCGAGTTTTTCTCGATATCGAGGGTGCTTTCAACAATGTCATTATGAGGGGTCTGCTGGATTTTATTGGTCTCCTTATCGAACTGGGGAATGGCGCCATTACAATGTATGTGATCAGAGGCACTGCCCAAAGGGTACTGGTTTTCAAATCATAGCAATCATAGCAACGGGTAAATATTCTCAGGTCCTGAGTGAGTTATTGCAAAATGTACTCAGTCTTGTAAACACCTGGTCAAAGGAATATGGACTTATGGTCGAAATGGTACTCGTCTCAAGAAAGTATAAAACTCCTATATTCAGACCTCCCATCCTAAACGAGTTTAAATACTTTGAAGATAATATAGAAAAGAAACTTGACTGGAAACGAAATCTCAAAGAACGCTCCAGAAAGGCTAATTCCGCCCTGTATTCCCGCAAGATAGCTATCGGAAAAAAATGAGGAATGCACACAGCTGTGATAAAACCCATCCTTTTCCATGGGGTTACCGGATGGTGCCCTGCACTTTGTCCGTCACGGGAGCACTGCTCACTACAGCCAATAAGTCTCTGGAAATAATGTTAAATCTTCCCCCTCTGGATCTCCACGGCGAATTTCGGTCCGGCTGTAGTGCTGCCAGGTTAAATACGATTAGCCGTAGAGACCCTCAGATTTGACCGGATGAGTTAGCGATCCATAGCATAGCCTAATGGGTACACATGGAAAAAGGTTAGGATACCCCATTTACCATACCATGATTTTTGTCGCAGTTGCAGCGACGAGTCACTGTCCCGCCCTGGCCAAAACGCATAACCAATTCTTCAATAAGTAATTTTTAGATTGTTTAGCTGATCTGAACTCGGCGTATGTTCTCGACTTTTTGTGCTATAAAAAACTCACTCGCTTGTTCAGTTTTTGGAGAGCTTCAATTTAGTGAAATAGGGTGATAAGAACTAAAATCTGACGTGTAAGTATTACTTGGAATAGGGTACTTGAGGTCAATTAAGTTTAAGGATATATCATAATTAGGGATTCAATAGAAAATGCTGAAGATATGACGCAAAATGTAATAAGGCGACTACAGGTCGTTCAAAAGAAAAACGTTCGAAAAGCGGTCATGTTTCGGCAGAAAATGGCAAAGCTCTGAGTGTGTTTCTGCCTTGAAAAAGCTTCTAATAAAACCCTCTTGGTTGTTATTGCTTCCGAAAGGGTGGGTGTATGATTTATTCTAGAACGAATTTTCATACGAAAAATTACACAGAAGATGGCACAACGCCGTAACCAAGTTTGAATTGAAGATTCCACCTTTTATGTTACAATATCAGTACGCACATCCCAAGCTCGGCCAAACACTTAGCGAAAGTGTGAGCGATAAATATGGACATATATTTTTTTAATTAGTTAAAAATTTTTCCTGTCAAATTGAAAGGTAGGACAAGTCCCTAATGCTGCTTTATAAACAATTACTTGCTATCACCTGTACTCCCAGCTTGATAAAATGTTACTTTATTATACACTACGTGGATAAGCATTCAAATTGATAAAATGATATGGGGTAGAATAGATAAAACGACTAAAAGCTAATTTATGACATACCCTGAAGTGGTAGGCTCTGATAAAATCAAACAAGTTTGCATATGTGCGTATTATTTAATATAGGATCTTTTCAATAATAACTTCAGTCTTATACGGATTTTGGGCTGACAATGTTAAAAGCTGAAATTAAGGATGCACCTGTTAAACCAAAGCGGAAGGAGTACACAAGGGACTCGGAAATGAATAAAAAACAAGTGCAACTTGTTGAAGAGTAAGTTGAATAGTTTTTTTAATTATTTAACTGGTCACAAACATATGTATGCACATACGTACTTATATACACGTAATTAAAATTTTTTCCAAAACAGTGACTGGAAAGCATATTTGTCCAGCAACATTTGCATACAAATTACCGCCTGGCTATTACTCACCGTCGGTTTGTGTATAATTGTAAGTACCATTTATGTGGGAATAGTTCTACGGAAGAACGATGTGATAAGCGTTAGCGAAGAATACGGATATTCAACTGACAATACTACGGCGACTACCTATACAACAACTATGGGAATAATGTTGAATAAGAGCGTCAGGTAAGTTACAAAAAGATATTGGTAAAATTTGAATGTGAGTATGTGTGATTTAAGAGAGATAAAAAACGAATACGACGCAATGCAATTGACGGCATGTATTCTGAATGTGTTAGCTCCGAAAAACGAAAAAAATTTAATAAATCCTTATGCACGTACTACGGACTGAGATAATCGACTTCAGCGGAATCCTAAACTTGATATGTATGTAGTTAGCATTAATAGGCCCCAGCATAAAAAAATTGATCTGAGTAGAGATCTAGAGATTCCATATTATTTTCCGATAAATATTCGAGATAATTTACAGAATATCATTAAAATTTTTATTTAACAAATCCGGACGTAAGATTTCATATTTACGACGGCTGACCTACCTCGGCAGCCGTTTCAAAAATGCTCTATCTCAGAAAATGCCTTAAGAACACCCGAATTCAGAATGTGGTTGAAGAACGCCCCATTTCAGCAAACGGTTCAAAACGGCTTATCTCAGCTGTCGATATATTGAATTTGCATTGAGATTGGGCGTTCTCGAACCAAATTTTGAATTAGGGCGTTTTTCAATCAAATTCTGAGGTAGGGCTTTCTTGAGCCATTTTCTGAGAGAGGCCGTTTTCGAACCGATTGCCGAGATAGGTCGATTTTCCACTTAGCCGTCCACATATAAATATAAAAAGGTAATTTGACCATTTATTTCCTAAAAAAAAAAAACAAAATGTACAAATTCCTTAAAGTAATATTATATGTGCTTTGAATTTTGTTGCTTAAATAAATAAACTGTGTACTATTTTCTAAATAATCATACAAAGTCTACTAAGAAAATCGTCAAGATCGGTGCTGTATCTGTATGCTTTATCATCTATACCACTGGTTGTTCAAATACAAATGTTTGCGATATAACTACTCTATGTAGCCAGCCAAAATCATTAAATTGTGTTACCGGTTTACATAAGGATCACACACTGCAGTGAAAATAATTTAGATTGGTGCTTTAGGTGTAGCTTCCATACCTCTGATTGTTTAGATATTTTTTTTTTATAAATGTAACTCTTCTTTCTACGTACATACATACATATGTATGCTGTGAGCATACAAACTTCGTTTAGCTCCCAATTAACTAATTTGAAATGCACTAATCTGTTAAAGTAATATCTTCTGATGTTCATGAAAGGTATGAAGTCTTCGGCATAGGCGTCGACAGTACTGCTCTTATTTGTTTTTTTATATTATTTATCTTATGCATATGCCTTCTATTTTGTTTACAGAGCTTACGTAGCAGTGGCCACAGAAGTTAGAGGTGAGGGGTGCAGAGAGTATAATTGCATGGTCACTTGTATTCGTACAAATGCAGATATTCTATACGAAAGTATCTACAACACCTGTGTGGTAAGGATTAAATTTAATACATATTTTCCTGAAACTACATACATAGTATTTTAGCTAATATGTAATATACATATGTATGTGTTTATTTATAAATATATTAGCAGAGCACCCGACAGACGTTGAGCCCAAGGCACATAAATACAGGTAGAAGCCAAAATGACGTTGCTCTCATGAGAACCAAACCTTTAAACTTCAACTTGATTTTATTTTATTTCCTATATTTCGTTACGCTTTGAATGTCATATCGTTGTTTTTTTTTTTGAATGTTCGTTAATAACAAATTTTAATTTGCATTTGAATTTTTGTAGTGTTGTGTGGTTTATACTTAGTGTATGTGTTAAAAATGCAACACCTGAAGCGTTGTGTTTTATGTGGTGTTAAATATAAGGCAGATACCACTAATTTTTTAACGTGCCTCAATGTCCTTCGCGTAAGGAACGTTGCGAAAGCAGCTGTGGGCAGAGCTGCAGTGAAATGCCTTGCTGTGCGTTAAACATTTTAAAGAAGTAGATTCCACAAATACACCGGGAGGTACAGGAAAGGCACGTTTGAAGCCAAGTGCTGTTCCTATGACCCTTATGCCGAAAAGTCCCTCCAACAACACTGCAACTCATAAAACAAAAACAGAAAACAACATACACGTTTTATCAAATTTTAACTAAAGAAAATAAATAAATAAGAATAAACTTCAAATATACTTAAAAACGTCAACCAGTGAAATGTATTTTTTTATTTTTCCTTACACACGCTCATTTTTATTTTTACTCTCCCGAAAACTTTGACTTTTGTAGGTTTGATGTCAATTTGGCTTCTACCTGTTTTTATTGTACCATGCGTTGAGCTGCTTAAAATTATTTATTTGCTGTACGGTACAAAGAAAGCAATAATATTTATTTATTTTTATCTATTTGATATGTAATTATTGACAGTTTAAATCTTTACGATCGATTGTAGGCATATAGCCTCCCAGTTTACAGCTGTAATCAAACCCCCCTAGCTTTAGTTAATAATGATGCGAAATGTTTTCATACCCTTTCGCCTGGCCAATCTCCAGGGTGTCCATCGA